TTTGCTGTCATGGTACACGCTCTCTGGACTCTTCCCCCTCCCCCCGCCCCTCAGTTCTCAAGGCTCAGCTCAAACGGCCTGTGAGCACAGAGCTCTTGTCATAGCAGCCTTGTTAAAGTAGAGCCCCCTACTCTCCTATTGCCTGGTTTTACTGTTTCATACCCCGTATCACTACATGAAATGATCTACTATTGATGTGTTTTCTTACAGGACTGCTGTCTCCAAAAAGTAACTTCTTCAAGGTCAGAATCTTGGCAGTCTTCTTCCTGGTTGAATCTTTAAAAAGATAGGTAAGGTTTAGGAAGAAAGGGGGTTGGAGGCCACGCAGAAAGTACATGCCAGGCAAAAGTGGGTGTTAGAGGGGAACCCCAAGTTTTCAGGCAGCCAGAGTGGGAGCAGCAGGCCATGAATGCATTTTGTCCATCCACTATCAGAGGCACACAGCCTGGGGCTTACCTCTTTTGCACCAGCACAGCAAAAACTATCTGTTGATTCTGTAGTATTAAAAGAATTTTTTTCAATGATTACAATAGAAAAACATCTGAAAATATGTTATTTTTATGGCAAAGAAATTTTTTTTAACGTATTTTTTGCGAGACGGAGAGAGACAAAGCAGGAGCAGGGGAGGGGCAGAGAGAGGGAGGCATAGAATCCAAAGTAGGCTCCAGGCTCTGAGCTGTCACCACAGCCCTACACAGGGCTCGAACCCACAAACCCCGAGATCATGACCTGAGCCAAAGTTGGGCACTTAACCGACTGAGCCACCCAGGCGCCTGTGTGGCAAAAAATGTTTAATTTGAGGGTATTTTCATAGAGATTTTTCTGAGACTTGCCAAGGTCTTAAATGAGTGTTCTCTCTCTCTTCCTCTCTTCCTCCCCCTCCCTACCCCCAGACACACAGAGATGACTCTGGAGACCCAAGCTATTGGTCAGTTTCATTCTAAACTGCTGTTTATAAAACCTAAGCAGCATTATTACACGTCAATACCTGCTGGGTGCTCATAGCCAACCTGCAAGGGCTGTGGGATGAGGCTCACCTGTGGCTACTGTAAAAACAGTATATGGCCTATGCTACGATGGCGGAAAGTTAGATTTGTAAGGAGGATAAATGGGTATTTCCCAGTGGTGGAATTTCAGAGGACTTCCTGGGGGGGGAAGCATTGCTAGACCATGAAGCACAGCCAAGGCTCCTGGAAGGCAGAGGCCCCTCAGAGCACTGGGACACATAAGTTGAAAGGCACAGAGATACAAAGCACCTGGGTGGCTCAGTTGGTTAAGTGTCTGACTATAGCACAGGCCATGGTCTCACAGCCCCACATGGGTTCAAGCCCCACATCAGGCTCTGTGCTGACAGATCAGAGCCTGGAGCCTGCTTCAGATTCTGTGTCTCCCTCTCTCTCTCTTCCCCTCCCCTGCTCATACTCCGTCTCTGTCCAAAATAAATAAACATTAGGGGCACCTGGGTGGCTGAGTTGGTTGGGCGTCTGACTTCAGCTCAGGTCATGATCTCACGGTCCGTGAGTTCGAGCCCCGCATCGGGCTCTGGGCTGATGGCTGAG